TTGCTCAACAATCAATCTGAATTCTGTTTTTCCTAATCTTATGACATTGGATTTTTGAAAGGTATGGTGCCAGACCTGTTATATCGATTGATGTTACATCATTTCAGAACCCGACATACCAAGTCATTTTTACTCGACGTAACAAATGTTTATTCTACTAGTGATCAAGTTCTTATAGGTGATTTTCAAAGATACTCACGAGCAACCAGTAAAAATGTTGGTAAAACTCGAAAAAATGGCAAAGTGACTCAAAAACCAACAAGCGAGAAAAATAATAAAATTATTATTAGTATTATTATTATTATTTATTTGTCTAAAGTAGATTTGTTAAAATTGTACTCGAGAGAGAAGAATAATCTCTCTAATAGTCTCTCCGGTAAATTAATTATATAATTTGCCTCTTTTCTCTAGGAGTGGCAATCAGGCAAGTTGAGTCGGATATCTCGATATCTAAACCAGTCCTGTTCCCTAGGCTCTAAGCCCCGCCTTCACTCGTGTCGGTTGAGGGTCCACCTTGTGTGTCCTGCACGGCGGGCCACAAGTAGATTGCCCTGTTTCTTGAAACTTTTCTTTGGATGACAAATAAAAAAAATGGAGTAGTGTGAGTAAGTGGGGCGTTGTGGGAAATTCCTCTGAATAGGAGTAATCAACCCCAACTCCTTATCACTGACAATGATTGAAGGATGTACATGATGATGGTCATGTGGATTCCGGCTACACTATATAGATTATGATATAGCACCCAAGACAACACGGTGGACCAATTAAAGTGGTTAACTCTGATATGGTTGGTCCAAGGGATCTCTAGCTTAGCTCCAGTGCTCGAACTAGCCAAGGAGCTTGTTTATGTAACTCAGGGTAAAGGTCGACCTGATTGGATGGTTTGGGGGTCGTACTTCTCCAGTAGCTCGGTGAGATAAGGAGACCTCATGGGCCGGAGGTCAGATTACTGCAGGTCGTTGTTACGACCGGGTTTGACCTCATAGCTCAGAAGTCGTGAGAGAGAAGGTTGTGATTGCAACTTGGTTTGAGCTGATGGTAGGTGGGTCACGATGTTGGGGTTGCGCTCTAAGGACTTGAGTGTCATATGGTAAGATGAAATAAATTCCTTCATTGATGAATATGTCTTGCCAAGAAGTATCAAATCTTAAGAGATATGGTAAGATAGGAATGTTGATTCGAACAGATTTCTTTCCTAGTCAAGACTCTCTTAGGCATCAAGATATCCTAATATATAAAGTTAATCGGGTTATATTTTACATACAACGCATACTTACACACTTAAGCATATATTTTCCCATTCTATTACGAGCAAAGTATTGACGTGAGCATTGGAGGTTTTCCGCCGGGACCCCATCCTAGAGTATTGCAGATACTGGAGCTCGAAGTCGACGTTTGTTCGTGGTATCTAGTTCATCCCGATCCAAGGTGAATTTGCTTATCAAATTGGGTTGTGAGAGAGCTTAGAATTTTACCGGCTATAAAGGACTAATTGGCTTCTCACAAGAAGTTTTTCCACAAATTCGGAGATCATGGATGAAGATAGTTCTAAGAAAATTTTGACTAAAGAAAAAGAGGAAGCGTGGGTATCTCGGATTCCCTTAGGCAGTATTTTAAATACCGTACCAGTTAATATCGACGGTATTACCGGATTAGCAAATATAATGATATATATAAATATACATAAAAATATATAATATCAATGTTAATGAAAAAAAATAAAAAATAAATGACCGTAATCATTAATTTTAACTTCTCAATGAAATAAAAATATAACATTCTAACTACCAATTTAAATTTCATGCTTTTTAAATTAATAAATTTTATTTATTTTTTATTTTTTTATTAGCCGATATTTTGGACCGGTACAAGAAATAGACGTCACTAAATGCATTGTTTGTTGTAGTGTCCACATACCGACTTAATCGTCGGAGTTTCTATGCCTAGACACCTCTCAATAGTACTGTTTTACTGATATGTCGAACCGTGTGTAGAGTGGATCGAGGGTCGTTCGAATCTGGTCAAGATAATTTTACACACCACCTATAAATCCAAACTTACCGTGTGCATCATTTTTTAAACCGATTATAATTCCCAGTCTAATTGATAAATAAAAAATTACTATGTTTTTCTTTTCCCCTTAAAACGGATATTCCGGTCTAATCGAACTTCACTAAAGTGCCTATAAAAATAGCTCCGCAATAACTCGAATCTTGTTTGATGTTTAATTTGAATATAGTGACAGTGTCCTACTTTGACAGTTTTTGATCAACATCCCCATGACATTTTTAGAGATAACGTGTACAATGTTTTAATTTTCACAAAATAAGAAGCATTTGAGACGTGTGAATTACTAGATTGACAAAGTAACAATTTAATTGGAGCTTTTTCCAAGTACAGTCAGCTCTTGCAAATTTTTATAGTAAGTTAAACCCGGTGTATCGTCTAAATAAATAAATAAAAAAGTAATCGATCAGGATTCTACTGCACACAATATATAATTATCTTCGATATAATATATAGAATAGCTCGGATGAACTGATCATACTTAGCTCGGTTGAACCGTACGGTGACTTGATCTTAAGTAGGTCGGTGAGCTGTCGCTTATATAGCTCGAATAATCTTAACTAGAGTAGTTTGAGTGAGCTATTTCGGAGGCACCTCAAATATTAGCACAGTTGTAACAACTAGTTGTTCGGGCATGATGATGACCTCTTGGTAACTTGAGTATATATAGTGATGACCTAATAAGGATAGGTAGACCATTAGATCTATCAATAGTAGGTGTATGTAGAGAGGCATGTAGGTTGTAGGTTGGTAGACCTATTGGGAATGAATCTAAGGTAGTAAGATTGGTGAACCTACTGATAATGTACCTAAGAGATCTACGAGGGCTTAACACGAAGAGCTATGAACTGAGTAGCATAGTTGGAACTATTGATAGATGGATTTGGTGGACCTATAAGTCATATATGTAAAAGACCTACTAGTAATATGTTTGACTGACCTGTGGAGGATTTATCAGACCCACTACCGGGGTACACGTGGAGGAATTAAGGATCTAGACTTCAAAACTAGCAAGATAATCTTCGGGCAGACCCTCAGGCAGTTCGGGCATTCGAGCAAGCATTCGGGTAGCCGGGCAACGTAAAACTTGTTCAATAAGTCAATTATTCACTATGATTAGCCATTTACATACAATTCTCTCTTGTCTGGAACGACTGCAACCGCAGGCCCATAATGCCACTTGTTATTCACTCACATCTTCTCAAGAACAAACCTTCAATAATTGATATATGAGTTTCTTGTGGGTAATTATATGTTTAAATTACGATTGGTAGTAGTCTTACTTCGGTTTGATAATTATATTTTTTTTTTATCTTTCTAATTTATTTTAATTCGGAGCTATAGAATATATAAATATTCACAAAATATATTCATATATATTTTTATTGCAAGATATAAATTGTAGCGTGTTTGTGCTATATTTATATCTAACCACTTGTTAATTATGATCCTTTAATCCATCATTAAGCTGACGAATGATTCAGCATTATTGAGTTGTACGTGTCATGTTTTCTGGTTGAGGTAAAATGTGACCCCACCTCCTCAAGTCGTTGTGTGAGTCACGGATAGAGACGAGAACAAATTCGACCAACTCACGGACCCTTCAAAAGACATTTGTACGCTTTAAAAAATTTCGTCGCCATA